CCTGTTCGCCGTCGCGTACTTGTTCTTCCCAAAGGCCGGCACGGCGACGCCCTTGGCCTGGCAGAGGCCGCCGAGGCTGTCGAGGCAGGCGAGGACCTTCTTCATGTTGTCGCCCTGGTAGAGGTCGTTCGCCGAGAAGCAGTCGGCGCGCGGCATGCCCAGCGCCTCGCACCCGCGGAGGAACATGCCGATGTTGTCGATCTGCTTGAACGCGAAGGAGCCTGCGCGGGGGGCGGCGCGTGAGCCAGGGGCGCGAGCTCGCGAGGGGCACTTCAAGTACACGTCACGATCCCCTCGGCGCGCGCGGAGGAGCCGCGCGCGGCGGCGGCGCGCGGCGGCGGCGCGATGCGTGTGCCGACGGCTCGGAGCGACGGCGCGGCGCGCGCGCGACGGCGCGACGCGTTGCGAAGGGCGCGGGCGCATACCCTTGTTGATCTTCTTCACGCTCCCGGGCTGGATCACGTTGATGAGCTTGCAGAGCAGCACCTGCGCAGCGGCGGCGCTCGAGGCGACCGTTGGGGCGCGCGTCGACGCCGGAAAGGCGCCCCATCCTTCAGGTTCGCCTGGAACGACAGGGACGCGTCGAACTGGACGCCCAGCACCGCCTCGATCCAGGCCTGCGTGGCGGCCTCGTCGTCGAAGGCCGACATCGTCTACCGGATTCTTCCTCCTCCCTGCCACAAGCGGCCAAAGTCCGTCGCCGAAGCCCGCTGCTGTTACCGTCGCTGCGGCGGCCTGCACGCCGCACTGTCCCGCAGTGCGACGACGCCAGACGCCATGTCGGCTGGCAATGCTCTCACGAGCTGGCCGCGCCACGATTGGCAGAGGATTCGCCGAGCCATCGTGATGAGGTTTGCCGCTGCCCCATGTTTGGGCCAAAAGTATCTCAAAAGTGCCACAGGAGTGAGAGGCTTGAGCTGCAGCTCGCCGCGAGGAGAGCGCCGCGCAGCGCAGCGCGCGGCGCACACACCGCCTGCGCACCAAAAACACGTGCGCGCATCATGTCGTCGCTGCTCTCGGACGTGAAGATCCAGCGCGAGATCACGGCGCTCGAGCGCGCGTCCATCGAGTTCACGAACGCGTTCAACAAGAACCGGCCGACGCTCGCGGGCTTCGCCAAGTGCGCCGACGTCGCGGAGCTCCACGTCGTGCGCGACGGCTTCTACCTGGGCCTCGGCAGCGAGCTCTGCGCGGCGGAGTACGCGCCCGTGAAGCGGGCCGTGATCGAGGACTTCCGCGTCGCCGCGGCGGCCGGGACGGCCGGCGGCTTCCGCCAGACCGTCGAGTCCGCGCGCGGCTGCGAGGGCTGGCCCGCGTTCCGCGACGCCGTCTTAGCCAAGGCGGCCTACGTCGACAGCGACCTGGAGAACATGTGGCTCGCGCTCGAGCGCGGGCGCCTCGAGTGGCTCGCGGCGGCCGCCAACGCGCACGCGCTCAAGGTCACGCTGCGCGACGCCGTCGCGGCCGACGGCAACGGCGCCGGCGACGTGAGCGACGCGAAGATGGTCTGGATCTACGCGCTCTGCCGCAACGTGCCCGCGACGCGCGACGCGGCGGCGGCGTGGGCCGCCGCGTGCGGCATGGCGGACCCGGCCCAGCCCCTCCGGGGCTACGCGGCGGCCGAGTGGGACCCGCGGCGGCCCGAGTGGCGGCCCCTGGACGTGGGCGCCCAGGACGCCGCGGACCGCGGCGGCGCGAACCTCGAGGACGCGTGGCGAGCATAACGTCCGGAGTCACAACAGGCGGGTTACCCGACGGTCACGCGGATGTTGACCTTCTCCTCGCAGGACATGCCCATGTCGTCGAGGTCGTCGTCGGCGAGGTGGCTCAGGTCCGAGACCTTCCGTGCGCCGAGGAGCATGATCGCGGGCGCGTACTTCCCCAGGTCCCGCGCCTCGAGCCAGTGCTCGAGGTTCGACCGCCGCGGGCGCGGCGGCGACGCCGCGGCGGGGTCCGGCGCGGCGGCGGCGTCCTCGCGCGCGCGCGCGGGCGCGGCGGCGTCGTCGCTCGGCGCCTCGTCGTAGAGGGACCAGGCGCGCCACCGCGGCGACGGCGGCGCGTCGCCCGGCGGCGACGCGGGCGCGTCCACGTCGCTCGCCTCGCGCGGCGCGACGTCGCCGGCGGCGCGGGCGTGCAGGTCCCTCGAGGACGCGCCGCTGTCGCAGGAGCCCGACGACGGGCACCGCTTCACGAGAAAGTGCGGGCTCGACGGCGAGTCGGGACGCTGCCGCCCGGAGACGGGCACCCAGCCGCCGACGAGGTAGACGGGCTCGCTCGGCGACAGGCGGCCCGAGGACTCCTGGAAGGAGTCGTCGCCGAGGGACTCGTCCGGGGGCTCCGAGCCCTCCGTCTCCTGGAAGCTCTCGCCGTCGTCGAACGACGGCGAGGCGCCGTCGGCGACGCCGAGCGGCGGCGCGGGCGCGCCGCCGGAGCAGTACTCGAGCAGCGGCGAGATGACGCGGCGGAGGGGCCGCGCGCGGTCCGCCGGCGAGCTCGGCCGCCGCCGGCTCGAGATCTTCGGCTCGCGCGGCGCCTTCTCCGGCAGGCAGCGCAGGGCCTCGGGCAGGCGCAGGGGCTCCTCGATCTTCACCTGCCACGCGTGCGGCGGCACCGTCGCCCGCGGGTCCATGGCGGCTCGGGGAAGCCGCCGGCCCGGGAAGCCGCCCGGCCCCGGGCGCGCGAGGCAGCAGCCCCGATCGCAGCCTTCGTTCGGGCGGCCCGTTCAAATGCTTCACTCGCTTCATTGCCGGCAAACTTCGACCTCGGGCGGGCGAGAAGCGCTGGGGCCCGCCGAGCGGGGCAGCCCGCCACTGTTGCGCCATGCGCTACGAGGTCGTGGCGCGGAAGGGCCTCCTGCTCCGCGAGGGCTACGCGACGGACAGCGACAAGGTCTGCGAAGCGCGCAAGGGGTCGTTCGTGGTGGCCCTGGGCCCGCAGCGCGACGTCGGCGGCGTCTGCCGCCTCGAGGTCGTGACGCCGGAGGGCCTGCGGGGCTGGTGCAGCCTCAAGGCGCAGCTCCTGGCGCCGCGCGACGACGGCGAGCAGCCGAGCGCCGAGGAGGCCATGGCCGAGCTCGTCGTCGCCGCGCTGTCGTCGCGCGCGCACCGCGAGCTCGCAATCGAGCAGCTCATGTTCATGGGCGGCGAGCGCGGCGCCGCGGGCGCGCGGGCGGCGCGGGGGCTCGTGGCCATCGCGAGCTCGGCGTCGGGCTTCGAGGTGGCGTCGTCGCGGCCGGGCGCGCGCGACCGGGCCTGCGCGGTCGCGCTCCTCGGATGGAGCGGCTCGGACCTCTGCGACCTGGACCTGCCCGCGGCGGTCTACGCGGCCAAGTGGCCCACGGCGGACATCATCCGCTACGTCGAGCCGACGCTCGTCCAGGCGCCCCTGCGCTGCGTCGCGGCCGGCGAGCGCGCGCTCCTCGACGTCGAGCGCGCGCTCGGCCTCGACGACCCGGACGACGAGGCGCCGATCCTGCTCCACGCGCGGGGCAACGCGGGGCTGCGGACCTACGCCAAGCTGCTGGAGCGCCTGCGCCGGTCGCCGCACGCGAAGGCGGCCGCGCGGCTCCGCGCGGGAAAAGAGTGCGAAATTCCCAACTTCAAAGGCTCATCTCGGCCGTGTTCCACTCGTTTTGGCTGATTTTTGGACGAGCGATCATCTCTGGAACGGTCTCGACGCGG